TTACGTACGATATTCGACGCAGGCCTGTATACGTTTGCACACATATAATAATATCATTGAGCGATCACCGCTTCTCTCGCTCGGCTTCGGCAGCCACGCGAGCCACTTTTGATACGATGAAAGATTTACTTCTTCATTTATTGCCTCGCTAATCGCCAACTGCACCGATATTTTTCCAGAACCCGTGGCTATTTATAGACACGCTTTAATTGCCTCGAACTGCGCTTTATGCTGCTTCGTCGAGAGAAAAGTGCGAGCGCGTCGGTCTCGTAGCTGCTTTACTAGCGAGGAGGAGCTCTACTCTCTACTGACGGATCAGCTAGACCTGACATTTCCCTCTTTCCTCTCTATCTCGCACGATCGAGCCTGATTCGGGCTTGGTACACTCGACTCGTGTGCAGTCTGACAGCATGATTACATCAGCTCGCGTAGGCAGTCTTGCTCCTCGACCTACTCATCCCGCCCCTTATTTGTCTCCTCAGCTCCTTCTCGGCTACTCCCTCGCGCTCGCTTGACCATCTCGTTCTCTCGTTAAACGAATAGCCGATAATTATAGCACTTCTCGAAAACGGCTTTTTGCCGATACTTCCGCGCGCATGCTGGACTCTGAAAAAAGCCCGCGCGAGATAATCTAACCGACCAGTACTCGTTTTTTTCTTTTCGTTTGCCTCGAGCTGCCCGATCATTCATTTGGTTTCCATCCGGTCAATGCGGATGCTGATTTGCGAATTGCCTGATGGATGACTCGGGAGAGCGGCTCACCTGTACGCGCGTGTACCAAAATAAACGTGTTTATAAGCGCGTCGAGCAGCGAGAAATTAAGTCGTCGAGCCTCAAAGTAGATAGAGAAACTGCAAATGTCTTTTGGCTCGTTCGCAGAATGCAATCTCATCTTCGCCGTCTTGCTCTTGCTCTTGGACTAAGAAAAGCCACTCGAGAGGAAAAAAAGAGGAAGAAAAGTTGCTCCGCGGAGCAATTAGATCTGTCGTTCTGAAGCATTTGTCGCCCACGCGCCAAGCCTTTCTAAATTAAAACAGCTCCCCGCGTCGCGGGCACAAACGAGCGTTTAGTCAGAAATGTAATTCTTCTGTGTATTTATGCTCGCGCTCGTTTGTATACTCGAACGATCATTGGAACGCGCAGACTCGCGCGCGATATATGTATCGCTGCACGACGTCGTCGAGGCTGCAGAGAGAGTTAACAGCGAGACTGCGCCACTGCATCTCGAGGCTCGTACGCTAACAGGGCAGCACACGCGTTGCGCGCGGCACCGACCGAAAGTGCACTTTTACGCGCGACAGGTGCGCGCGTCGACCGGACCACGTGGACTATCAATTCTCTCTCTTCACGAGCTGACTAATAATTAATCCGTCTTTTGTTTGGCCATCTCTTGCGCAGCCAATCATAATAAATCAAACGAATCGATTGTTGGGCCGCTCCTACCCGTATACGCGCCCGTCGCACTGTGCATCAACGGATAGACGCGCGCGTCGTTGAAAATATTATCCGCGCGAGCAGTCTCTTTACGTAGCGTCGCGTCATCGCAGCTCCTTCAATTTGTCGCCGCCGCCGCCGAGTCGCGAGAGCGGAGCCCGCAAAAAATGGGGCCAAGTGAGTTGTAGTGTACACAGACAGACATTCCTTGCAGGACATTAGAGAGAGAGAGAAAGAGAGGATCGTCTTAGCGAGCTGTAAAAATGTCGAGAAGAAAACACTTAGCGCTCCCTAATTGCACAAGGTGACGACGACTGTCTCTCCGGCCGATGACTAATGACTCGAGCATTCGGCGGCGTTCGGCCTATGCGCGAGAGCATGTATCTCAGCATGCGCATATCTGCACCCAATCGACGCCTTCATTTTTCCGAGTATAACTCCTTGCGAGGCGAACGTTCCCTTTTTTTCTTTTTTTTTTTTTTTATTTTGGTCGAATTTCGTTGTACGTTGCAGGGGTAAAGCTCTCGAGTGCCGAGCGAATAAACAGAAGCTCGTCGACGTCGCTACAACACTCGTCGGTACGTACGCTCATAGTCTGCTGAACAAATTCTAGGATGTCTCGCCATGCGCGTAGTACGCGGAAAGCCGAGACGAGACGTTGCTGCGTGCGGAAGGGAGAACGAAAGGCTCGCGCGCGCGTTCTGAGCCTTGTTTCGGTAATTGCACTAATCAGTGGCACGTGGCTTGTGCCACACATGCCGGTAGACGGAAACCCGAACCGCCGCGTTGCCGACGCTGCGCACGAGAGATGATGCTCCAAATAGAAGGGTTGAGATGCAGAAGAGCCAGCCAAGCGGAGCTGGCAGCGATGGGAACGACGAGACCGAGAAAATATTCGGGGAAAGGGCCCGAGTCAACGAGTCCGCAAGGATAGAAAAAAACGAAGCTTCGCTAAACGGTCCTTGCTACCGCCAGCTCTTGTCCCATGAAATAGATGCGGCTAATAGAAATCGCGTTTCCTCGAGCTGCGCGAGCTCTATATACGAGTGCAAAACAAGACGAGCAAGAAGCGATCGAGCTCGTTTCTCGGCTTCGATTAAGCGGTTATATTGATCGATATGCGCATGTAATATGTATCGATGTGCAGCATGTAATATGTAGCCGAGCTGCTGCTGCTGCTTATACGCGCGCGCGCGCCGGTGAGAATATGAAATATCGCCTCGGACGGTAATTAGAGTGCGCCGACGTCCAACTGGCTTACTGGCTTGCGGATTCGGGAAAACGACCGGCCAGCGACCACCCGAGAGGGACGACGAGATGAGACGTCGTATATATATTTTGTTGCCTTCTTTCTTCTTTTTTTTTTTTTAATATTATTACGGGCGCGCTTTATGAATGTACGCGGATCGGGCCGAGTTTGCCTCGAGGCAGCGAAATTACCAGGTGGCAATAATCGAGCAAATTGTAACGCCCTACGGGATATATGCACACACGTACACCGCGTACGTACGGGGCCACTTGATGAAGATGATTCGAAAATACGATCCGCACATTTTCCCTCTCGATCGTCGCAGCCAGACCGCGGCGCACTAACAGCTCGCGCCTTCGTATGTGTAGCATCGCAGCCGATCACATGTACCTATAATATATCGCACCGAACTATTGGGTAAATCGATTCTACATCTGTTGCGCTCCGATTATCCCGTGTTTCTCGATTCCTTTTCGAGTCTTTGGTGGCGCAGGTGCTTCTGCAGATAGAGAGAGAAAATATGGCATACGCTTGAGGTTGGCCGATTTGTGGCTCGCCGAGTCGCCACAGGCCATCTACGATGAGGAGGAAAAGGGAAAAGACGTCTGGAATGGATTTTCTAATTTCATCGCGTGCGGCTGGCAGCTCGAGCTCTTTTGTATCGCTGATCAATGCTTCCGATCGGCTTATAATAGAACCCATAAAAAGCGAAAAATCAATAAAAAAGGCCTTAAATCGAAATAAATTCGTCTTAACGGCAGCTCGTGTGTCGCGCGTTCGGTACTCGGTGTCAGTGCGCGAGTCAATATAAATCTCCCGACGGATGCTCGGATTTCCAAATGTTCGGCAACGATTTGTGGCCACGAGAAAGACAAATTGCCCGCCTGCCCCTACTTTATACACTTCTGTACACTGCTCCGCTGTCGCTCAGCCATTATACGTGTTTATCGCGCCTCGAGCTTCGAGCAATATATATATATAGCTACACGAGACTTCGGAGTGCCGTACATGCCGATGTCGCATAGCGTAGTACGCGCGCACCAGCCATTTTGTCTCAGCTCCTCCTTCCCCCCTAATTTCTCTTCGTTTTCGTACCATCAATTAACGCTTGGCTATTATCGAATGTCAAGGAGACACTAGTCTTTGAAAGCCCGACGAGTGATGATTCTCTCTCTCTCTTTTTCTTGTCTCCAGTTTCGAACGGGCCTCCGCCCGATGCGTATGAATCGACGCGGCGGTAGTCGTGCTCGTCAAACGAATCAAGGACCCGCTCCGACCGCAAAAACTAATATCTCAGTGGCTCTTTTTCGCCTGCATATGCTTGTGCGTCTCTGCTGCAGTGGCCAAATGGATGTACCGCACACCTATACAATGCCACGTGTGCCGCAGTGTACGAGTTGCAATTGTACAACTTGCAGCGTCGCTCCGAAAAGTACTTGGAGCTCAACCGTTGTTGCCTTATCCGATTCGATCATCGGGTTCCTGATCATTGCGAGTCAATAATTGCGACGCTCGTTCCGATAATTGATTAAACAGCTCGGCGCGAAGCTTTGAAGGAACCTCTGCGAAGCATTGCGCGCACCAATCACACGTGCAGTGTAGCTGCACTATATACGCCAAACGAGCGTATCGCGAAATTCGAAGCGTGAACGTCGAAATCCATCGGCCGCCGCTACTTATCCCGCTTATGCCCAGCTCGTAGCTACGTGCACGAGGCTAAATATAAGTATGTTATGTATCGCGTTATAGTTGCCGATTGTGCGCGCGGCCCGAGACTGACTCTGTCCAAGCCTCGTGCGTAATGCGCGCCTTGCTCTGCAGGTGTGACTGATTCGCCAGCGGTAGTAGCCCTTTGATCTCCACTCGGCGTAATGCTGCCTCCTTCTTCTTTTTTCTCTCTCTCTCTCTCTATCCAGCACATATTATAAGTACTGTGCGTGCGCGCATTGCCTGGCTGCAATTCACACTCGCCGCCGCCGCCGCCATAACGCCTCGGAGAATCGATGACCGTTCGCGACGAGCGATAACTCGGACTCGCGCGTCCCCTAGCCGACTTGGCCTCTCCTCGCTAGTCATTCAACGCAATCCATTTATGAGTGCACCTAAGCTTACAACATGTAAATGGCTACTGCTGCTGTCAAAGCCCTATACCTAGCTATGTTAGATTATGGAAAACGAGATTTTTACCTCAAATTTTTTTATTTGACAGCCTTTAGTTTTTATGATTATTGTACATTTTATAAAAATTAATTAAAATTAAATCAAAATTTTTAAATAGCTGAAACTTTAACGATTTTTTCCTTTTTGCCCTCTCTAGAACAAGCTAATCATCTGCACTTATTCAACAATCGTCAGCAGCCTAAGAAGAAGCGAAAGAGCAGAACAGCCTTCACGAATCAACAAATATTCGAGCTGGAGAAGCGTTTCCTGTACCAGAAGTACCTGTCGCCGGCGGACCGCGACGAGATCGCCGCTCAGTTGGGACTCAGCAACGCCCAAGTCATCACCTGGTTCCAGAATCGCCGAGCCAAGCTCAAGCGAGACATGGAGGAGCTCAAGAAGGACGTGCAGACGGTCAATCCGCTGCTGGTGGCTCAGCATCACAAGACCTTCCTCGAGAACGTCCAGGACCTGGGCATACTCAAGAAGCGACCTCTGCCCAACAGCATCGACGAAAAATCTTAAGCGGACCGTTAGCTCCGTTTTGAGTTTATTTTTAAGGCAGTCGAGGTCGAGTCCTGTGGAATGACGAGCGTCAACGAGTCTTGCGAATCGACTATCGACTACCACTCGACCGGCTCTTGGCCGACAAACAGTATTGTTACGATTTAAGATAATCTTACGAAACTTCGACACTCTCTCCATGTACGTGTAAATTTATCCTATTCAACGGGTCATTTATGATATTGTCAATGTGTACATATTAATTAGCGATCTATCTACAAAACAGCCAATTAATCTTTTTACTCGCACATGATATTACTTATTACTTAAATCGAGTATGTTTGAAAATTTACTGACCCAAATTGTTATTGCTTATAAATATTTTACATAACTACGAGTGAATATTAGTGTACTATAATGTAATTATGTGTGTTGAAAGGTGTAGAAAAGGTATATGTTGTATGTATTGTAACCATTTTAAATAACGAAGATTGCAAGTATTGCGATCGTGCGCGTGCCGTATGCGTGTGTATTTCCCTCTTCGAGGTGTGTAAATATCAATTGTACATAGAAGAATTTCCCAATAAATCGTTTTGGGAATATTTTTATTTTCTGTTCAGGAAAATTTGAATTTTATACATGTCGTCGATGTACTATGTATCATATCGAATTCTATGTTACACGTAGAATATAAAGAAAATTTCTTCTCTCGGCGTGGAATCGAGGGATCATGAGCGCGCTATAAGCATCTAAGTGATACTATACTATATTATTATTAAAAATAATTATTATAATAATTATTACTATGATTATGATTATTATTGTATACAGCGGGCACTGCAATATAAATACAGCTGTCGGTTATAAAGTTTTAGGGATTCTTTATTTATTTATTTTTTTTTTGTAATCGAAATAAGAAAATGTTGGAGTGCAAAAATTCGGCTCACAATGTGCTTGAGTTGCTGTGGCTACGTCGGCTCCTACTCGATACAAGCTTGTGTCAAATATTAAATACGTTTCGGGCAGAAATTTTGTTTTCGTTGCAAAATTATAACGATCAACTAAATTGTACTAAAAAGCATAGGGGTTAGTCAGAGTGCACTTGCACATTTACGGATATTGGCGAAAATAGCGAGTAGAATGTTCATAGTGATCTTCAATAAATGGTATCTTATCTTCTAAACTTATTGGATGGTTGTCACCTTAATAGTCCTTACTCACAAGCCTTTGATTTCATTTGAAACGCTACGAAAGTCGGGTGCGTAAAAAAGTTAATTATAGCGAAACTGCGAGTCGGTCGGACGAGTGGTTGCACGCGTTCGAACGAGACATAATTCCGATGACAGACAGGAGCTGTCAAAGTTCATATTAGAGAGAATTTGGTCGGAGCCCTTTGGGATTTTTCATTATTTCGCAGTGTCCAAGTGAATGAGACGACGGAGAAGGAAGGACGGACGAGAAGGAGGAGGATGAGGAGGAGGAGGAGGAAGAAAGAAGAAGCGCGCCGCACGCTTCGGTTCTGCGGTCACCCAATCGAATGACAAAGAGCCAATGCAGAGTAGTCGACGAAAGGTGCGAGATGAAAAGAAATAATTCGCCAAAAATAGCTCGTTCCGAGAAGCTTTTTGAACTCTGCGCTAACGCGTATACATTCATGTATATATAATTTATTAAGTTGCGGCTATTACGCCGCGCTGACGAGTTCATGATGCCGTTCGCGCCTGCCCGCGTTAAGCCGCGGCTCTGCAACTGCACATTTATTCACATACAACGACTATACGCACTCGTTTCTCGCTAGGCTAAACTCCGCTCGCTCGTAAATATACGGCACGCAGCATTGATGTACGCGACTCTAAATCGACGCATGCACTTTTTACCTCAAGCGCTGCATTATGTATTTTCGGTTGTTACTTTTCGGCTTTATGCTCGAATTAAATAATTCATCGAGGCCGTTGATTAAGCATGTAGCGTTGCTGTATACAAAAAAGTGGGCGAGAAACTCCACCTTCCTCCTTACAATCACTGTTTGTATTACGATCGGACGACGATTGCGTTAACTATATAAAAGTAACATATTCGACGGCGCGTAAAGTATCAAAACGTTATCGTTCTCTCGCGTACGCTCTCTTTTTTTTCGAAAGCTGGTAAAATTCGAGCTTTGTTTAACAGTAAATTTCGTGGTGGGCCTATGATCGCGGGTCTTTTGATACACTTGTTGTCGTGCATATTTCGAAAGGAAACGATCATGAGTCGTTAATAGATCCGAGCGACCTGCTCGAATATTAACTCCTTTCGCACAGCAATAAAAGTCAATTTCGAAATCGAGCATTAACTTTTGCGTATATGTGTGTTTTGCTCATGGGACATTCTTAATTTTATTGTCCGCGAGTTTCTCTCGATACATTCAAATGGCCAATTTGCTAAAGAGCCTTTGAAATGCCTACAAAGAGACGTAGCGGTAGTAATGATCGCGACGTGCGAGCGCGCTAAGTGTCTATTGTCGACTTTGTTCTTTTGAAACGATCCGGGCCAGTGTGGAAAGAGGCGCCAAAAAAGTTAAAAGATTCTCGTCCCGAAAGGCTCGCTAACTGCGTCCGAATTTCCCTCCCACGGCAGACGGGGACTCGCTGGCCGAGGAAAGTAGCCGCCGGAGGCCAGAGCTTAGCGCGTCGCTAATTACGCTCGGTGCAAACGATTATCTAGTTGAAGGAGCTGCGAGTCGATTAGGTAGCTGCGCTGCAGCTCTTTGGCGTGGCTGCGGATACGAACGTCAGCCGCAGTCGGCACGCAGAGGCACGCAGAGTCTCATTGTATACGCGATACGTGCGGGATCGAGCAGACGCGCGCCGACGAGCTGCATATAAGCCGAGAGGAGTAAGCCGGTAAGCAAGGTAGCCGAGGCCTCGAGAGCCGCCCTGTAATTCCCGACGCCGCGCGGCGCATTCAAATAAAGAATATCCGTAATGGCGATGATGAGCAGTAAGAGCAATTTTCGTGCGGGCCCCGAGCTCGTACTTGCGCTGCGCTGCTTACGGTCGGGGATCGCGCGTGCGCATCCAATACATCAAGAGCCGATCTCATCTTGTCGAGCAGCATCGTTTATTGTGGGCCCATCCTCGCGCTATGCAACAACATAAATTCCTTGATTGCAAAAGCCAAGGCGCATCGAGCAGCCGTGGCCGCAGCCGTCGGATCGTCCCTTTGGACGCGATTGAATTTTTGCTCTCTTTACAGGGATCGCTTTCGGCTTCGTGTAGTCTTCCGCCGGAGACCGAATCAAAGTCTCGTTGAATTAGCTCGTCTCTTCGTGGCTTTTCCTCCTCCGCTCCGAAGCCGCTCGCTATTTTCACAGCTCGGCGCGTCGTGCATGACGCGTTACGATACCAAACAAAAGACTCTACGCTCACGGATCGACGCGGTGTATTTTACAAATCGACGTGCGCTGATGACTTGATTAGCCATAATAATGGATATTATAAATGGATGAAATTACTTTATAATGAGACATAGATAATGTTTTCGTGACACGACATCCTTCAACAGTCTTTTGAGCCAGGCTCTCTTCAATGTAAACTCGAATTACTTACGTGCTCGAGCTATTGAAAGCGGCACGGAGCAATGATATGTTTATTTATATAATAGACGCGATACTTGAGATTTGTATATAATAATCTGCGTTTAAGTCCGCGGAAAGAAAGAGAGAGAGAGAGAAAGAGAAAAAAGGCTAAGACATTATGCGCGCGGCCTTGAACGTGAAAGAATTAAAAGGAAGAACAAAGAAGAGCCTCAAGTGTAGAGATGATTATGATTGATCGCTCGCTCGTGTGTGTACCGTGGCGCTCTCGAGCCAGTCGTTCGTCTCTACAGTCTATATAAACACAATATACACACACACATACACATCGAGCCGTGATCTCTAATATTTGTGGTTGAACAATTAATGAGGTGTTAAGGCAATTAGGCCGAGTCTAGGCAAGCTTCGTCGTACTTGTAATGGCCGAGCGTCAGAGCTACTTCTAACGAGATTTCATAATTAGAATCTCAGCTGTTCCGCTCTTTGCCCGGCTACTCTCGTAGTACAGTCCGATACTCGGAAACGTAGTATCGTTATTAAATTTATCTCGAGTCAAAAATCGGCGCGAGCGAGCGATAGTTTCGACGAACGATTCGATTATGCATGCGCGCGTCGAGAGCTATATGCTATATACGTATCCTACATACGTATTAATAAAGCGTCGAGCTGACTCGAGCCGTGTGTAGCACACACATACGCATGCGTGATCGATAGCCGCCGCCGTCGCTTAACATTTTAAAGTTGAGTTGAAATTTCCCATTCAAGCGCTAATGAGACTTCAAAGGGTTCGTCGGTCTCTCTCTCTCTCTCTCTCTCTCTCGAGTTCTCTCTACGGCTGGATGGCAGTACGTAGCGCACGAATCGAACACGCCCACCGGGTCGCATAATTCGGACTCATTTACTCGTCGAGTCGACGTCGTTGGCGCGCCGAGCAGCGAGAGAGAGAGATCCGCAACTCCGATGGGCCTCGCACGCGAGAAACGTGTTCCTGTCTTATACACCTTTATATACATATACAACATACGTAGTACCTTACACACACACACACACACAAACTTACACTCGTGTACGCACGCGGACAATTAGTAGAGGTATAAAGCGCGTATGGACTCGCGCGCGAAAGTCGCTCGTTAATAGACGCCACGATATAGCATTAGCTACGATGCTCTTCCTCATACATTATTATCATTCTTTTCCTCACCTTTTTCCAGCAACTTACGGCCGAGAAAAATCAGTTCGCAGCAACGCGTGCGTAACAACAATACTCGTGTGTAAGGTGCCTAGAAACTGAGTAATATGTCAGACTAATTGGTTGCTTCGGCCTAAACGTTTTTCGCTCCTCTCGCTACTTTTTCTTCGTCCGCGCCTGCTCCATCTCCGCTCGACGCATCTGATTTATTCCTTTTATTCCTCGCTTCGTCGTAGCTCTCCATCGTCGAGAGGATAAAAAAGAATCGCGCATCGTCGGTCGAGCTTTAAAGGTTGAGAATTCCTATTTAGATGATCTATCCGATCGACCAATACAGTTGTATATGCGAAAATTTGGCTCCGTAGCCATGACTCGCGTCGTCAGGGCCAAGGTAATTTGGCAAGCTCGTCGGCAATTAATCGGAGACACGACTCTCTATAATGACAGAGGTCGCAGCTCGGGGGACATAAGAGAAGTGGAAAACATTAGAGGCGCTAAGAGAGCCGCGCGTGGAATTTCCATGGACGTGGAACGCAGTACACGGGGGCTGGGAGCTGCGGAGGGAGGCTTGTGGCGCGCTTTAGCATCCGAGCGAGCGAGCGAGAGAGAGAGAGAGAGAGAGAAGGCGGCGGTATTCAGCTTGATTACAGAGCTCGGCGCACTTTCGCTCTCACCTCTTTCTGAAAGCAGCCGACACCGCCGCCGATTCATCTCGCGAAATCTTCTCTTCTCGTTCTGGCCAGGCAAGCACGAGCAACTTGTATACATGCAGCGTGTTGTTGTTCACACCAAGGGGCGCTCGGAGTGGCGGGCGCGCGACCCGCAAGGCCCCAATCTGCTCCTCTCTCTCTCGCACACGCTTACGACGATGATCATCGCGATGATGATGACGAGAGCGACGAGCCTCGAGACGCTTAAAACTCGAGCCTCGAAAGTCCTGGTGGTCCTGCCAACAGCACTTTCCACCCTTTTTTCCGCTCGAAGCAGCTCATTTAACGATTTCCTGCGCTCGCTTTTAACCCGACGCTTCCTTTCGCTCGATTGCTTCGTACTATATACCTTACCTTTATACCTGCCAAGGCTACCGTGCTGCAGCTTATTTCCTTTCTGCTTACTTTATGAAAATACACATACCGCTGTACGTGCAGGACTTTGATGAATTTTCTTATCGCTGCAGGTTTTTTCGCGGCCGAGAGCTGATTGAGCTCGAGTTGCTCGATCGGTGCTCCAAATTGACAATCGTTGGAAATTCCCGGTAGCGTATCACGTGGCTCCTCGATGCACGATCGTTGTTTGGTAACGAGCTTTTATTGATCCCAAAAGTCATAACGATTCCGAGTATAAACGAGACAGTGTCAAATTAACGC